TATGGAGAGGAGGAGGAGGATGTGGACGAGGAGGACGGCAAGGATAGCGAGGAGGAGGAGGAGGAGGAGGAGACATGTGGGAGGAGAAGAGATGCACAGAGGGAAAATAGGAAGGGCAGGAGGAGGAGGATGAGTGGGAGGAGGAGGAGACATGGACGACGAGGAAGGGGAGGACACGAGGAAGGGGAGGATACGAGGAAGGGGAGAACACGAGGAAGGGAAGGAGACGAGGAAGGGAAGGAGACGAGGAGGCATGGAAGACGAGGAAGTACGAGGAGGAGGAGACAAGGCGGATGAGGAAGGGAAGGAGGAGGAAGGCGAACGGGAGGAGGAGGACAAGTCGGAGGAGACGGAAAGGAGAAGGGAGGAGGAGACATGGAGGACAAGGAAGGGGAGGAGGAGCGAGGTGAGGCAGCACTCCTGCAATTTTTTTTTTCATCGCGCTAGAATTTTGACGGGGCCCCTCAAACGCACCGTTTCGACCCCCGGCCTTCCTTTTTTTTTCGGAGGGGGGTGACGAGTCGTTCCCCGCACACGTCGTGCGCTGCACAGGATCGGTTGGGCGCGTGCGCCGCACGTCGGGAACCGCGTGCACGACTTGCGCTTGCAAGTATGGTATATTACCTATGTTACCTGACCGTCCGGGATGTCCGCCCGGACAACCGGGCCAAATGTCCGACTGGAGCCCTCTGTCCGAACCTACATAAAAATATTTAAATATATTATATGTAATATGTATATATTTTTTGAAGAATTTTCTGTGGATTCTTCTGCAGATAAGGCATATGCCCATAATTTTTTGTGGCATTTTGATAAGTAGAAAAGAAAGTTAAAAAAACTAAAAATCGCCAAAGATGGCGGTGTAAAAAAATGCTTTCCAAGTCTCTATTTCGATTTTTGAAGTTTTTCTGTTTGTGTTTTTCTTTTCCCTGTTTCTTTTTATGTTAGGGCTTAATTTTTTTTGTTTTTTTTCGAAAAAAATTCTTGTGGGTTCTTTGTGAAGTGGGGACTCTTATAAGTTTTCAGCTGAGTGAGGACGCCGCCCGTCCTGGCCGGTTGGGCCCGGGGGGACCGCCCAGGTAAACCGGGCAGGCCAAAAAAACGCCCAGATATATATATAAAACCGCCCAGATATATATATATATATATAGCCTCCTGATGAGTCGGTGAAACTCCGACGAAACAGTTTGTCACAGCCCCTCATTTGTTGTCCTCTTCTCCCTCTCTGCCTACGGTTTACCGGGCAGTTCTATTTG